TATCTTAACTGCTGCAACGGGTTGAGCTTTCGATATCAGAGGGCGGTTGTTCTTGTGCCAGCAGACTAAAGCATATTTTTCGTGCAAAGGAAATGACGAAGTCGAGAAGCACGGACATCGAGCATTATGCGGGATACTTGAATGGTGCCACGAAGCAATTCTTAGTAAGACCGGCAAGTGCAACTGTAAATAGGACAAAGAGGCAACCACACGACTACCCAGTCCCTCCCTCCTCCCTCCTACCATCGTCATTTTATGTGCCTCCATAGATCATATTGTACTACGTGCTGCATCTCTTCTAAGTCCTTTGGGTGACAACATCGATATTCACATTGTCTACTATCCATCATGTCGGATCCATACCACCAATATTACTACAATAACCAGAACGATCATCCCCAGTATGACTACTATGGTCATGGTCAGCAAGCTGCTGGATACAGATACGGAGATCCCCCTGGCGGTTATCCCTCACCACAATACCAGCAAGAACAGCCTTCGCAGTATGCACACAACCCGACTCCTGTATGTCCATCTCTGCTCAATATTTCCCTTTCCGTATTCGCATGCTTTATGTGTCGAGAATGCATCCATGAAGTTAACGAGCTGATTATTCCTTTAGCCTACCAACAATCAGTATGCGAACCCATTCCCCGGCAGCTATCCTGCACAAAATCAGCCAAGCTATGCACCTCCCTGCGACGCAAGGCAACCAGGTGGAGAATATTGGCATGAGCAGAACTCGCCTTATCCACCACAGCCTTCGCATCAGCAAGGCCAGAATGCGTCCTACTATCAAACGCAGTCAGAGCCTGTTCCTCCGACAAACCCATCCGAGGGTGAAAAGGGTTTTGTCTCGAATGCAGCAGGCGCGGTAGGTGGAGGCGCTTTAGGTCACAAACTGGGAGGTGGGATGCTCGGTGTCGCAGGAGGTGCATTGGCAGGAGCTGCAGGCATGAGTATCGCAAGTAAACTGTGAGTCTACCAGTGATGATGGCTGTATACATGCGCTAATATGTGCTTTTACCAGACGTAAGAAGCATAAGAAGAAGCACCATGGCAAGGGTTCTGGTCGTCGGTCAGCGTCAAGTTCGAGCTCCAGTTCCAGCTCAAGCTCGAGTTCAAGTTCCTCTAGCGATAGTGATTAGTTGAGTGCGGGCCGTGTCTTTATGCTTTTCCTTTATGTTCTGTTTGTGTTGAATACTCCCTTGGTTATTCGTTATTACTGGTAGGGAACATGTTCCTGTATTCGTAAATCAGATTGTCAGTCGACGAGTCAGTGCGTAATGGCAAGATATCTTGTTTGGCATCATAGAGGGGTTATTTGAGTACTAGTGTTAGAAGGGTTGGTATGTAGTAGTGTCCCGTAGCTCTGCAACTTCAAGCAGGGACTATAATAACGAAGAAAGAGGCTATACCATTGTCGGATATAGGTCCAGGGATATGTTTGGGTGGACGGGAGCCAAAACAAAAAAGCCAAAAAGGAAATTCGAGTGCATCATCCGTGAATCGAACACGGGCCTCATCGATGGCAACGATGAATTCTACCACTAGACCAATGATGCTGTTCATATCAGAATCCTTCAAATCTTGTTACTTATTCCAGCAACTAATCTATCCTCAATAATTTCCATGATACGAGTACACGAAACGAATCCAGATAGCTATTTTCTGAATCTCTTGGTATCTTTTTGCATGTAAGAAACTGTCCCTTGTTAAAGTGCCACTGCGACCATACAATTATCTTCCTGAAGTACAACAACTACCTACGATGTACGTATCTCGTCAGTCGGTCTCGGAATCTACCGTCTATAGATCACGATATATCAAAGACCGTCGTCATGTGTCCTCGCCATGCCCTAACTGAATCACGTAGATGTGTCCAAGCTATGAAAGCATCAGACGGTATGAGTTGGGCAAAGGCCAGAGGTATGTAAGGATGGTTCTTGCGCATTGTCAATATTCCTAACGCAGTTCTGAAGCGCGAAGCACCCGTGCTACGTCCCAAGCAAGTAAATATGATGAAGAACGGAGAACACGGCTTTGATGTTAAGATGAGCTTAGAATTGAAGTAGATGAATGCGATCTAGAACATGATTATCCTTGTGGCGCTGGCTACTTCAAGTACTCAGCCTCTTGACTCTTCCATGGTTAGATGTAGATGAGTCGGAAGGACCTGAGTCTAGAGCTAGCTTGACTTTGTTCATTACTGCACGATGTCGCGGATCGGAACTGAGTAATATGTAATACAAGGCGTTTGGCAAGAGCGACGCGATGCGATTGTTTGATAGCCAGTAGCTGATGTGTCGTTTGATGTCCAGAATATAGTAAATCTGCCCTACCAAGGGAGCTGAAGGTTTACACCCGAGGTAACACCAAAATGGATAATGTGTCGATGGAAGTCTGGTTATGAATGACTCATCATGAGATAGCCATGATATTTAGTGAACGTAGAGGAAGACTCGTATCTGTCAAACACTTTTAAAAGATTTGCCATCTCGCGAGAGAAGAGAAGAGTATTGGATGTGCACTGTAGAAACTGCGAGGTGTCGGTAGAAGAACAACGTGTCGACCCACCATCATGGGCGAATAGCGCTCACAGGTGCAAAGAAGGTTCCTACTTCCACCATTATTGTGGCAATAATGTGGTTGCCAGTTGCCACTACAGATTTGGGTATTTTCGCGGGGGATAAGGAAAGGAAGGGGATCCGGAGAAAATTGAACTCAAAATTCAATAGTCGATAAGAGCGATAAGAGAGGGGCCCCCATATTCTGACGGTGCACATCATAAGGCACGGCTCCCCTGTTGGCTGAGGCGGCAGGTCTGGATGTCACTGAAGATGGGCTGTGAAGGTTTCAACACGCCAATCAGTAACAAACATAAAGAAAAAGAGAGAAAAAAAAAAGTTAAGTATAGCTATCTATTTTTGAATGCGGTGAGAAAAGCCTGAGTCAGACAAATGGCGGTGATGCGTCGTCTCCTGCAATAAACCATTGTTTCAGGCGTGAGTTGCGACGCTTGAACCCCGGAATTATGCCTGAGAATGTTTAGTCTCCCATCCCTTTGTGTTTGGCAATAACAAGGCCTCCGTGACTCTCTGGGGAGCAATCTCCGGGCGCAAAAGTATAATGCTCCCTTCCCTGACAACATGGTTATGCTTCGGGCAGGATTTCCCCAGGTCTGCCTGCACCTTACCGTTACCCATCCCAAGTCCGGGGAAAATATTGTCAGGCTTGCTTCGCTTATGGCGGAGTAAACATCTTCACATGTGGATGCCAGCGTAGCAAAGCTGTGAGGACAATTCAGTACTCACTCTTAAGACTAGCCAGTCATCAATAACCATTAGTTATTCATACCTTGAGCCAGTCTAGGCTGACGGGCGAAAACGGAGAACGATCTGGCTCTGGGCCATGGCTCTTGGTAACTCTAACGAAGTAAAAATTCTTGATTATTTTTATTTCTATTTTTTTTTCCCCTTCTATTATTCCTTTTCTGAAGGGGGGCTGCGCCACTTCACCCCCGGAATGATCAGAGGTGGCGACCGGCATGAAAAGCAGCAGTATCTGCAGGGCCAACCAAGCCATGATTACAAGGAGGGGCGGAGACTAACCGGCCGCAGTGGATTATCATCTCGCTATCTATCAGGATGGTTGCATCCCCGGAGTCATGGCGTGTCAAGGACATTTTCAAGGGATGCGCCAGCATGCAGCGCCACCACGGTTATAATGAAAGGCGGTTTTTTAGATACTTCTTGTGGTAGGGAGGATTCTGCGACGTTCCAAGTATCCTAGGAAGCACCGATAAGGGGCGGAAAGGGTTGTACAGAAACCGGCTGTGTTCAAGGCCCTCTCAGCCCTGTCAAAGAAAGGGGCACTTGTTGATGCTTGCAAATGGCTTGATGATCTGAAAGGGGATTGGCTGGCAGCCCATCCCATATGATACAAACTAGAAAGTATGCAAAAATAATCATATTCCCTTTAGACGGGGTAATATCGGTCGGGGAAGACTATCCATGATCCTCCAAGATGTCCGCTCCCACTGCTCCATCTCCGCTGATTCCCGCACGGAAAAGAGTCGGGACGAGCGGCAGGGAGGCGACCGCCAGAAATAACCTTCAATGATCCATGATGGCAGCAGGCAAGGCCGTGAGGATGGAGCCAACGTGATGGTTGAGCAGCAACCAGGGCAACCTTGGCTGAGGGTTCAACGCAGCTGACTCAGCGAAAGACGGGAATCCAGCCAATCAGCGAATGCAGATTGGGTCATTCACGAGCCACGGTTGGTTGCTTCGACAGCCCATCGCCGCTACACCGGAAACGAAGTTAGTGCGGGACAATTTCTAAGGAACAGCGAAAAATTTTTCATTAAAAGAGATTTTCTGGGACTGGCGGCGGGACTGAAAAAAAGTTGGGCGGCGAAACGCAGGCCACAAAGCGATAAATATCACTTTCCTCCACCCACCTTCGCTTCCCCCCCCTCCTCCCTCCCTCTCTCTCTCCATCCTTCATCTCTCTCTTCTAAGAGGTTTGCTCCTCTATCTTCAAAAAATTTGTTTTGTTTTTTTGTCGTCTTTCAGACGAAAAAAATAGATTTCGCTTGTGCGGCCGTGTTAGAGCGTTTGCTGCGTCCTGTGAATTTTTCCAGACGCGGTTTCGTGGGCCCGCCACCTCTTATCGAGATACCCTAATAGAACGCTTTCCACCCGTTCTCGCTTCTTTTCTCCTCCTTTTCCTTCTTCCTTTTTCTTCTCTCCGACGTTACGATATCGTCTTTCACGAACAAAATGCCTGCTGTTGATGTTTCGTCCGTTCCTGCTGTCTCCGGCAAGGAGACTGCTCAGTCTGTCGCTGTCCTTGAGGACCTCATCAAGAACCTCAACATCTCTTCCTCCCAGGATGAGGTGAACGCTGCTGCCGACAACCTGGCCCACCTGTTCAGCGGCCCTATCCCCGAGCAGGCTCTCCCCCTCAAGTATGTATAACCTCTACAAGATACCCCGCTATGCCGTCTAGGTGGCGGATGGCTAACGTGAAAAATTTTTCAGGGCTGTCGAGACCTTCCAGAAGCAGCTCAGCAACAAGAAGGATGCTGTTGTCCGTGAGCGTGCCTGCGAGGGTATCCGTGCTATTGCCTCCCACGCCACTATCGCTCCTGGTGTCGAGCCTCACCTCGTCACCCTCCTCGGCCCCGTCCTTGCCGCCGTCGGTGACAAGATGGTTCCCGTCAAGAACGCCGCCCAGGGTGCTGCCCTCGCCATCGTGAAGGGTGTCAACGGCAACGCCGTCAAGGCTGTCCTTCCCCCCATCCTCGAGTCCCTCGCCAACGCCCAGAAGTGGCAGGAGAAGCTGGCTGCTCTCGAGTGCATCAACGCTCTCGTTGAGACTGCCCCTGCTCAGCTCTCTTTCCGTGTCCCCGAGCTCATCCCCGTTGTCTCTGAGGCCATGTGGGACACCAAGGCCGACATCAAGAAGGCTGCCTACGCTACCATGGAGAAGGTCTGCGGTCTGATCGTCAACAAGGATATCGAGCGTTTCATTCCCGAGCTCATCAAGTGTATCGCCAAGCCCGAGAACGTCCCCGAGACCGTTCACTTGCTCGGTGCTACCACTTTCGTCTCCGATGTCACCGGACCCACCCTCGCCATCATGGTTCCCCTGCTGGACCGTGGTCTGGTTGAGCGTGAGACTGCCATCAAGCGTAAGTCCGCTGTCATTGTTGACAACATGTGTAAGCTTGTGGAGGACCCCCAGATTGTCGCTCCCTTCTTGCCCAAGTTGATGCCCCGTCTCGAGAAGAACTACGAGACCCTGGCCGATCCTGAGGCTCGTGGTAAGACCAAGCAGGGTCTGGATACCCTGTGCCGTGTCGGTGATGTCAAGAACGGCAAGATCCCCGAGATCTCCACCGCTGGTGACATCTCCACCGTCTCCGCTATCCTCAAGGAGATCCTCTCCTCCAAGTTCTCCGCCCAGGCTGAGAAGGCCGAGTCCGTCATCACCTACGTTGCTGCCATCGCTGGTCAGCTCGTCGACGAGAAGGACGCTGAGGTCACCAGCTGGACCCAGAACGCCCTCCCCTACATCGCCGCCATCGTCGGTGATGAGGAGGCCAAGCCCATCGTCGAGACCCTCCGCAAGCGCGCCTCCCCCGGTGCCGCTGCTGAGGATGAGGTTCTCTCCGACGAGGAGGAGGGTGAGGATCTGTGCAACTGCACTTTCTCCCTGGCCTACGGTGCCAAGATTCTGCTGAACCAGACCAGCCTCCGCCTCAAGCGTGGTCAGCGTTACGGTCTGCTCGGCCCCAACGGTACCGGTAAGACCACCCTCATGCGTGCCATCAACAACGAGCAGCTTGAGGGTTTCCCCAAGAAGGATGAGGTCAAGACCGTCTACGTCGAGCACGACTTGGATGCTGCCGACACTGAGCAGACCGTCATTGGCTGGACCATCAAGAAGCTCCGCGAGGTCGGTGTCGAGACCAGCCAGGCGGACGTTGAGGCCAAGCTCGAAGAGTTCGGTTTCCTGCGTGAGCAGTTCGAGGGTCCCATCACCTCCCTCTCCGGTGGTTGGAAGATGAAGCTGGCTCTGGCCCGTGCCGTCTTCGAGTCCCCCGATATCCTGCTGCTCGATGAGCCTACCAACCACTTGGACGTCAAGAACGTCGCCTGGTTGGAGAACTACCTGTGCACCTCCCCCTGCACTTCCATCATCGTCTCCCACGACAGCAAGTTCTTGGACAACGTCATCCAGCACGTCGTCCACTACGAGCGCTTCAAGCTCAAGCGTTACCGTGGTAACCTGAGCGAGTTCGTCAAGCGTGTCCCCTCTGCTCGCTCCTACTACGAGCTGGGTGCCTCCGAGCTCGAGTTCAAGTTCCCCGAGCCCGGTTTCCTTGAGGGTGTCAAGACCAAGGCCAAGGCCATCATCCGTGTCAACAACATGTCCTTCCAGTACCCCGGCACCCCCAAGCCCCAGCTCACCGACATCTCCTTCCAGGTCTCCCTGGGCTCCCGTATTGCCGTCATCGGTCCCAACGGTGCTGGTAAATCTACCCTGGTCAACGTCCTGACCGGTGAGTTGATCCCCACCACTGGTGACGTCTACCAGCACGAGAACATCCGTATCGCCTACATCAAGCAGCACGCTTTCGCTCACATTGATAACCACCTCGATTCCACTCCCTCCGAGTACATCCAGTGGCGTTTCCAGACCGGTGAGGACCGTGAGACCATGGACCGTGCCAACAAGATCGTCACCGACGAGGATGAGAAGGCCATGGACAAGATCTACAAGATCGAGGGCCAGTTCCGTCGTGTCATTGGTATCCACGCTCGTCGTAAGTTCAAGAACAGCTACGAGTACGAGTGCTCGTTCTCGCTGGGTGAGAACATCGGCATGAAGAGCGAGCGCTGGACTCCCATGATGACCACCGACAACGCCTGGATTCCCCGTAACGAGATCATGCAGTCCCACGCCAAGATGGTTGCCGAGGTTGACCAGAAGGAGGCCCTTGCCAGCGGTCAGTTCCGTCCTCTCGTCCGTAAGGAGATTGAGGCCCACTGCGAGCAGTTCGGTCTCGATGCTGAGCTGGTTTCCCACTCCCGCATGCGCGGTCTGTCCGGTGGTCAGCGTGTCAAGGTCGTCCTTGCTGCCTGCTCTTGGCAGCGTCCCCACGTCATCGTCCTTGATGAGCCTACTAACTACCTGGACCGTGACTCCCTGGGTGCTCTGTCCAAGGCTCTGAAGAGCTTCGAGGGTGGTGTCATCATCATCACTCACTCCCGTGAGTTCACTGAGAACCTCACCGAGGAAGTCTGGGCCGTCGTCGACGGTAAGATGACTCCTTCCGGTCACAACTGGGTTCAGGGACAGGGTTCCGGTCCCCGTCTTGAGGCCAAGGATGGTCCCGAGGAGGTGGTCGATGCTATGGGCAACAAGACAGTTGTCGAGAAAAAGAAGAAGCTCACTTCTGCTGAGCTTAGAAAGAAGAGAAAGGAGCGTATGGCTCGTAAGAAGCGTGGAGAGGATGTTTCTGACGACGAGGATATCTGAATTTGAGGTTGTAGCTCGTTTGGACGATTTTTATAGAGGTTACGGTCGTATGAAATCAAAATTCGCTTAATGACCAAAAGTTGGTGCTTTCCGAGTAAAATAACTTGATAGGAAGACGCAGCAATGCTTGTAGAACCGTTAGATAAGTTTGTTTTTCGAATTGCTTTAATATTGCGCTAGATATAAGACTTTGTTGCGATCCATATGTCGATGCGGGTTTGCCAAGACTTGGTGTTGAGGTTCAGGTGAGGTTGATGTTGGCGGTGAAGAATGGCAGAACTCGGACTTCATCAGCAGAGCCTCACCTCACCACACCACACAGACCCACTGCCTGACCATTCTTTGACATAACCAAGCGTTGCACAGTGATCTACCCTACTCGTGTCAGTCTAGAGAAGTCCCATCGTCTTCACTTCTTTGCTTCAAGGCATTGCGAAGCATCCTACCCTTACGCGATCTCTACTGCATCTTTCTACTAACTAGTATCACTGTAGCACTTAGTAGTACTAAATATGTAGTTTTCAAAGGACTTTCAGCTATGTTAAGCACTCACCTCACAGATACCCCTCCAGGAAGCACACCGCCAAGCAGCCATGCGATTTCTCACATTATAAATTTCCTGCGATAGTTGAGGTTCTACCGCAAGAAGGCATATTACTACCCGACACTGTGCCTTTGTGGCCTCTTCCTATACCTTCTTTCTCTCATTTTTGCATCCTCGCCTTTCTGGATCTGGAGCGACATATGCGTCTTGGTTATTCATCACCCCCCTACCCTCTTGGACTAGTACGAGCTTCTGTTCTCTTACTCTATTGGATGTCCTGTTTGCCTCGAGCAGCTAGTGGCTCCCATGAGCGCCATCTACCATTCGACACTTAAGCTCATTACTATCGCACAGACAGATAATACTCAGGATGAACGAACGGAAGACCTAGTCCTGGTCGATTTGACTCTGAGCAGCCAATTCCACGTATAGACTGCATCTGCACTTGGATTTTTGTGTGAATCTGCATTCTATCATTCAATAAGACCTACACCAACTAGAGCCTCGCTCCTTACATTCATACCTCATTTTATGCCTTCCGTGCACTGCGGATGGGTATTTTTGGGAATCTTCACGTAGATAGGCACATCATCAGACCCTTCGTCTGCTATAAAGCCTCGTTCTCCGATCCTTCGCCTTCATCTTCCTAATTTGCCTCACATCAAGCTTAACCCCCGATTTCACATATGGCGGAGTCCTAACATACTTCCCCGCACCTCGTCTGGTATTCGTTCTCCAAGGAACGTTTCTTAGGGCTACCTTTCCCTATTTGGAGGTTATTACAGCCTACCCGGAGCCTCATTTTGAGCCGCCCTTTATTTCAACCTCCATCCCGCTCGCATATCTGCAGCCAAAGTCGGGAGGGGTCTGCTGATACCGTTCCATTCAAGAAAGATACGTGTCATTGAGCAAAGCATAGTCGCATATCTACTACTAGGAGACATGTAGGGGACAATGTTGACACGCAATTGCGTTGATGGGCCTATTAACGCCCAAATCATCGCGGCGGTTCTTCGTCAGGCCAGTTGTTGCTACCGCATCATATCATCAGCGATCTAGATCCAAAATGGCAAGCTGCGTACGATAGCTTGCATTGGCCAGTAACATAACAAGGCAAGGTGCCATCCGGCAAAGATCCCTCCCTACCTACGATGCAAAGCGTCATACGAACGGCAAGTTCGTCGCGACTAAAGGAACTCCTGGCTACAACAATCGCAGGGTATAACAAGCCATTTAAGACGAAATGGGTTCAAAAAAAATTGTGATGTTAAAGGGTATGAAGAAGCCGACAAGAAAGGTATCCTACCAAAGAAGGGGTAACCGACACTGGAAGAGCAATACTAAGCTGCGTTGAAACGAGTTATCGATAGAGAGGCCGTTACTCCAGACGGATAGCGAAAATGAGAAAACGCACCGACGCAGAGAAGTTGATATTGAACCATCGCAGACATTGCGAAGAAGATCAACAGGCTTACGAAACCACTTATTTGCGGGCAGTTAGCAATTCCTCCTGGTGCAGCTTATTCGACTTTTTTCCGGCGAAATAGAGACTAGGCAATTTGAGACCACTCTTTCTGATATCTAAGCACTCATATTTACTGGCTAGTAACAAGCGAGCCATTATCTGACATACCTAGAATAGTAAATGAATAGAGGAAAGTGTCCGCACTCGGTCAGTGACTAGGTAAAGAAGACTAGTAAGCGTTCTACCTTGCCCAGCAAGCATTTACTAACTCTAAGATACTCCTTGCAGGAAGAAGAAGAAGCCCCTGGTTTTCAAAGCAGCTTCTGTGGACATTAGGATTAACGAGAAAATATCATCTCAACTTTCAATATCCTGAATATATATTGATATGTTAGATCGTGATGAAAATATCGGCTCTTCCCTGTCTCTCGTACTCCTGTGGCTACACGTCACGTCAGAGCAAATGGAGTCGGCCAACGATCTTTCGAAATATTTCGACAATGGGATCATAGACACGGAGCCTGTGACGGCTGAGTCCACTGAGGAACAGCTCCTAGCTACATTTTCTTGGCCTCAGTAGATACGCAAGTGCTACAAGAACCGCTTCTGGACATCAATAGGAGGCTCGCTAAAACAAAGCCCCCCTGAACATGACAGTCGGTGCAGTCCCTCCGAGCTGGAGGTCTTGACGCAGTAAGTATGGGAAAGAACACGCTGATATTCATTCTTAACAGTATCAAATCGAGTCTGTTCCCCTAAGCTGATATCTCCTAAGAGAGCATTCAGGGGAGAATCCAGAAGCAGGAAGGTTCGCATTCTGTCATGCTATCAATCCAGTAGCTAAGCTAGTATATAAAGATATTCAGGATAGAATAGGTCTGCTCTCTTAACGCGAACCTCTCTGCTTCTGGATTCTCCTCTGAATGCTCTCTTAGGAGATATCAGCTTAGGGGAACAGACTCGATTTGATACTGTTAAGAATGAATATCAGCGTGTTCTTTCCCACACTTATTGCGTCAAGACCTCCAGCTCGGAGGGGGTAAAGCAGTCGGACATTCAAAGGGACTGTAAACGATCATATGGTGGTAAGCGCTTTAGTGGGTGGCTTATACAATGTTGAAGACAAAGAAGAGGGGAGGAGGTTAATTATTACCAACTCACTATCCACAGAGATTTCTAAGCGGAATACGAGGCGACTTTGAAGTGATTGACACTAGAACGAGCGGCATGCACAAGAAATTATGGGATTGAAGAATCGTGGCACAGCTCGCCTGGATGCGGAGTATCGTACTTTACATTCTCTAGACAAACTGAACGATTCAATTCCGACAAGGCACTCAGTTAATTAAACATACTTTCGTATATTATAGTCACTCAAAAGTAGGTTAGTCCGATGCTGGGTAATATAGAATTTTCTGCAATAATTGCTAGGGCACGGGATCTCATTGGCTCGGAATAGAACTAGTTTCGGAGTTGAAGTCTCGTGCATCGGAGTCGGAATAGCAACATCTCTTACGGTTCTCGACTTCAGGCAGCATTCTAGACTACACTTTAGCCATAGCTAATATGATTTTGGCTATGATAGAACATGTGTCAGATTCTGCCTGCTCAAGGCAGTGCCTTTGTCTGGCTGCGTCACACACGGTACAACCTCAGGCATTGAGTCATCGTAGGCTCGGCGCGCCTTAACAACGTCGACTAAGACTTAATTACTCCAAAGCCACATCGAGACCAGTCCGACTATGCTGTTTTAGTACCCCGACCGATTGCCATCCCACTTCAATGCAAACTCAAAGGGCGTCGTCACCCACCTCTCAACAATATCAGGCAGATCTTGACCTCCATTCCTTCTCGAGTCAGAGAGCGGCGTCCCCAATGGCGGCCACCGCACTGGGTTAGCGCCTCGTGTTGACACCCAACCACACGCCCTTCGCTCCTTGGTATGCGGCCTACCACATCATGGGTGGGCCACACCAAGCAATGGCTTGCGCTGATGATTCACCAAGATAAGTTGCAGTCTAAACTAAGCATCTGACTATGTAGGGTGCTGTCCGATTGCTAAGCCTCGATCATTTGCTCAGACGTCAGGGTGGGTCGTCGTGGATTTTACTCCGCGGGCTTCGGACTAAATCCATCATCACGGAATGGACGCATGCATCAGTATATAAGGACCATGGAAACCGCCTGGCAGCCTTGCTTCGTGTGCTTCAGATCTCAGCTATTAAGAACCTTCTAGATTATTTGTGACTGTTCATACTCATCATCTACTGTCTTACTTGACTCTTTATACAACCACCACCACCACCACTACTACTACTACTACTCCATTTGAACTATATATCCACCCAGACTGGTAACCAGTGCTACCAGCAAAACCATACACTTCCTTCCTCAAGCATTTCGAAAAATACAACCGAAACCATGCCTGAATCAGTCAAGTCCACCTCCACCTTCGATGACGCATCCTCCAGCTACAGCGTCTCCTCCACCGCATCAACATTGAAAGACCTCAAAGCCACGAGCAAGAAGTGGCTACCTAGCAAGGGAAAGAAGGAGGAGGCCAAGTCAGCTACGCCTAAGCCTGCCTCACCTAAGCCTGCCAAAGAAAAGAGCCGTGCCCCGTCCACCAACTACACGACTCTCGCGACGTACTTGTCTTTGAAATGAAGGCCTATCTGCAGTTGGGTGCTGGACATACAACATGGATGAGGAGGAAAGAGAACTTTAATTATAACGAGGATATGCGCGTGCTTTATATAGACTTTGTTCATTCGCTGGGTTTGTGCTATGATAATGGCGTCGGAGTTGGATAAAAGCTGCTTTGATGATTTTGTTGCTACATGACTGGGGAAGACTTGCTTGTGGATTCACAGACCTAATCGGACGCTTAATTCTTGTCATCACTTCTTGTAATTAGAATAATTATCATTGCTTCGTCTAAACTGTCATCCTTTGTACTGTTGTATAGATCTAGGGTCCGCACACCCACTAGTGCTACAAAGGGCCATTAATTAATCGGGACTAGCGCGTCCGCGGCGCGTCGCACGCGTCGCAGATCAACTCCATCAATCTATCATTGCATCAAACAGCCCACTCGACATCATCAATTCACGCCGGAGTAGATACTCCATAATAATTAATATCAACCCAAATGACAGCAGAGTTTCTTTGATGACGACGTCGCCCCCGTCCATCCCTCCCTCCTTCGATCCGGCCATCCATCTTCATTCCGAGGGAGACCCTCCCGAACCCCCCTCCGACACCTTCTCCGACGAACTTGAGGCATTGAATTTCCAACAGGAAGAAAATACGCGCAAAGGGATAGTTATTCAGCACCGGTCGTGGAATTTGTCTGATGTCTTTCGCAGTGACGAGGATATAAGGCCTGGTAGACTCCACGATCTACAGCGTTGGGTAACATCAACTGATTGAGATCAGATACTCCGACACGAACGTCCAAGCGGAAGAACATCTACTCTCCTATCCGAACACTCACCTTGCTGCCGTCTTCTCCTCCATCTGCTATTAGAATGCCGCTCATTGCATCCCCCGCTCCCTTCCCGTCGAGCGCTCCGTCGCCGGAGTCGCAGAAAAGAAAGAATGAAGAGCAATCGCAAACTGAAGAGCCCAAGCGGCAGAAGATTATGGGCGGATTCTTGGATGAGGCAGACGACGATGATGATTGGGATGCCTTTAACGACGCGCAACTAAGAAGCGAGTTTCAGGTGCAGGAGGACATTATTCAACAGCCGCCTGTTGAACTCCCTGAAATCCCGAGGCCGTCTCAACTGCCAACAGAATCGACTCCCAGGCCAGCGTCTACTGCGCCAGACCTTGACCCCACTCCCGTTCCGGAACAGAGCACAATTACGTCACTTCCCTCACGAAGACCATATCGATCAATCCAAATAAAGACCTGCTCGGGCAAGACGCACCATGTTTCGTTGAAGAAACCCGCACCGCGGGTCAGCTACGAAAGACTTGTTGCTGGTCGCTCCGTGACTGCCCCTGGGAGGGCTCAGAAGAGCTACTACGGTATTGATATCCACAGGCTTCTTGATGGAGCTGCGAATGAGCCGGAAGCCCCCCCGGCCGCCGAATCACGACCTGCTCTGACGGTACAACCGTCTATCGAAGCCCCGATCCACGACCAGAAGAGCGCAAAGCTGGCTGCAGCCATGTGGACCGAGAAATACCGCGCACGGAAGTTTACTGAATTGATCGGAGACGAGCGCACGCATCGATCTGTTCTGCGGTGGCTGAAGGCCTGGGAACCTATCGTCTTTCCAAACATCGCTAGGTCGAAGGCGAAGAAGCCGTATGGCAAAGAGGATGAGGAACGGACACATCGGAAGGTTCTACTGCTATGTGGCCCGCCGGGTCTAGGCAAAACTACGTTGGCGCATGTATGTGCTCGACAGGCTGGCTACGAAGTGCTGGAAATCAACGCGAGTGATGATCGAAGCAAGGATGTGGTTAAGGGCAGAATTCGGGATTCCCTGGGTACAGAGAACGTCAAGGGCATGAATGTGGAGATCGGCGAGGAAAAGGTACGCAAGGCAGGACGGCCTGTTTGTGTTGTCGTCGACGAAGTAGACGGCGTCGTCAGCGGATCTGGAGGCGGTGGTGAGGGTGGTTTCATGAAAGCCTTGATCGACCTTGTCTTGCTGGACCAGAAGAATTCGTCAGGCTCCACTGAGCAGACCAAGGGCAGGAAAAAGAAGGGCGACAACTTCCGATTCCTGCGTCCGCTGATCATGGTCTGCAACGATGTCTACCATCCTAGTCTACGACCACTTCGCGCGGCCTCGGTTGCAGAGATCATCCATGTCCGCCAAGCGCCATTGGAGAATGTCGTCACACGCATGAAACGGATCTTCACCGTCGAAGGCATCCCATCCGACAACGATGGCGTCCGACGGCTCTGCGAAGCCTCCTGGGGCCTTGCTCGCCGCAAACAAGGGGGCGTCAAGAGCAGCGGAACGGCAGAAGGCGACATCCGCAGTGTTCTCGTGGCAGCAGAATGGGTGGCGCATAAGCTAAGGAACGAATGCCCATCCACGCTACGGCTGACCCGAAGCTGGCTGGAACAAAAGGTCCTCAGCGCCAACAGTAGTGGCAGTGCCTTCTTCAAGGGTCTAAACCGCGGTGGTGTGCGCGATCTCATCGAACGAGTTTTCACCGAAGGAGCAGGCTTCACGGATGCACCTGTTGGCGTCGACTCCTTCCGCGATCCCTTCTCCAACTCCGAGGACAAAGTACCAGTAGGCGTCGCCGACCTCCGGAAACGCCATGCCATCGAGCGACTACGCGAAATGGTCGACGCCAGCGGCGAGCACGACCGCGCCGTGGCAGAATGCTTTGCGTCCTACCCCCTGCAGAGCTACCAAGACGACACCTTCCTCTCCAAACCCAACGCAGCCTACGACTGGCTACACTTTCACGACACTATGTCCTCCAAGGTCTACACCGCACAAGACTGGGAGCTGAGCGCCTATCTCAGCCAATCTGTCGTAGCATTCCACCATCTCTTCGCCACAGCCCAAGGCAAAGCCAAAGCACCAGAAATCAACGATGAAGAAGAGGAACATCCATTCTCAGGCCCCCGAGCAGACTTTGCAGCCTACGAAGCGCAGAAACAGAACCGAGCCATCCTCACAGAATTCCAATCCGCATTCTCAGCCCCCTTATCCCGCCTCTTCCGGTCCACCGACTCTCTAGTCATCGACCTCATCCCGAACCTCGTCCGGATGCTCTCCCCGGACGTGAAACCAGTCGTGGTCCGCGGCAGCGGCGAGCAACGCAGCGTAGCCAGTGTACGCAAAGAGAGTGAACGCACCCTAATCCAAGCCGCCGTCCGCGTGATGGCCGGTCTAGGCGTGCGATTCGAGAAAGTACGCATCGAGAACGCCGGAGCCCACGGAGGATGGGCCTACCGGATGGAACCGTACGCTCCCTTTTCCTTCCCCTACACTCTACCCCCTACAACCCTTATATAACCAAACTAATCCCGACAGGCCCCTCGACACCTTCATCACATTCTCCAAAACCAAATCCGCCCCCACAGCCAGCGGCTCCGCCCCCGTCCGCTACGCGATTCGCCAAGTCCTAGACCAAGAATACCGCAAAGAGAACATCCGCAAGCAATCCGAACCCCTAACGACATCCAAGATCGGCAAGAAAGCCTCCGGCAAGTCCGCTGACGGACAGTCCAAGGACGACGGCGATGCGAGGAAGCCCGCGCACGGGCCGAACGTGAAACGGGACTTCTTCGGCAGGGTCATCAAGGAGCCGACGCCGCCGCCGTCAGATGAGTCACCTGAGATGGCGAAGCAGAATGAGACGTTGAAGGCGGGCAGACGCGTCTGGGTGACGTATCATGATGGGTTTTCGAATGCGGTCAGGAAACCGATTTCGATGGGAGAGTTGCTGGCAGAGTTGTAGGGTGCATTGTGTGCGGGGCGGGTAATGATTATGATTTGGTATTGTGTACAGCTTGATATCCGGTACTATGGGGTTTAGATGGTAGATATTATTTCTATATTGAGTTAGAGCGTTATTCATATTTGATGAATTAAATAGTTACAGTTAATGACTATCTATAAAGCCTAGTCACATGACGAGGACGAACAAGGGTGGTGACTAAGCGTAACCCGCCAAGCCGGCAGAACAGCGACCGCCTTCCCATGAATTTTTTTTTAATGATAGAAAAATATCCCCGAGATCGAGACCCATCGCGACATTTGCACTTGCACCAACTCCCCACGATATATCGCAACAATGGTGTCTTCGACGGCGCTAACGACGAAGGTGACTTCGGGGTCACCCTACCAGTTGGAGAAGACTCAGGTAAGTCCATTCTCCTTCACTAGCGTTTTGAATTCCATGCATGCATGCACCGCATATCACACCTCCCATTACATACTATCAACCCAAAAATTCATACATATATATATATATACTAATAATGAATAACTAGGTCTCCCGCGCCTCCACCGCCCTCCTCAAACACATCAAGACCAAACAAGACGAGAAAGAGAAAACCGCCACGAAGAAGACCCTTATCGGTGACAACGACGACAGCGACGCGGAAGAAGGCTCCCCTCTGCACAACGAAGCGATCTGGCTCGTTCTCACAACGAAGAAGCACATCGTGGACAAGAACCGCCTGAAGCCAGGCAAGATCCCGATTCCGCACAGCCTGAACGCCTCCCCGTCTCTCAGCATCTGCCTGATCACCGCGGACCCTCAGCGCAGCGTGAAGAACATCGTCACGGACCCGTCGTTCCCTGCGCACTTGTCGTCCCGCATCGAGCGGGTCATCGGATACTCGAAGCTGAAGGACCGGTACAAGAGCTTCGAGAGCCGGAGACAGCTCCTCGCTGAACACGATGTGTTTCTGGCTGATGATCGGATTATCATGCGGTTGGTGAATACGCTCGGCAAGGTGTTCTATAAGAGTAGTAAGAGGCCGATTCCGGTGCGGATTGCGGAGATTGAGAAGGTGGATGGAAAGAAGGTGAAGAAGGATCCGAAGGTTAGGAATGCCAGGAAGGTGGAGGGTGAAGGTGATAAGGAAAGTGCGTTTGCGACGCCGGCGATTGTGGCCAAGGAGATTGAGAAGGCGTTGAACTGTGCGCCGGTGCATTTGGCGCCCGCTACGACGGCCGCTATTCGTGTTGGGTCGAGCAAGTTCTCGGCGCAGCAGGTTGCGGAGAATGTGGAGGCTGTTGTGAAGGGGTTGACGGATAAGTTCGTGACGAAGGGGTGGAGGAATATCAAGGCGTTGCACATTAAGGGCGCGAATACGATGGCGATGCCGATTTGGTTGGCGAGTGAGTTGTGGGTTGAGGACGGGGATGTCGTTGAGGAGGAGGAGACGACTGCTGTTGAGGCGGGTAAGAAGCGCAAGCAGATTGGCGATGCTGATGAGGAGAAGTTGATTGAGGAGGCGCCGAAGAAGAGCAAGAAGCCTAAGGCGAAGGCCGCTCAGGATGATGAGGAGACGCTGTCACTGGCTGCTAGGAAAGAGAAGCTTCAGAAGCAGAAGGCTAAGGCGTTGGAGGATGGTGCCGTTGCGGTTCCGGTGTCGGCGACTGGTGCTGGCAAGAAGAAGAGAAAGTCGACTTCTTGATTGTCTGCTTTTGCTGGGTTTATGTCCGGGCTGTATTGAATAGCAATGGGTGTCTCTTTTATGCTTTTACTCCGGCGGCGCGTGTTCGTTTCTTTCTCTCTTCTTGTTCATACATCGGGGCTTAATCAATACCCTTGGTCGAATAAAAGTTATGTATAGACGTGCTGGTGCTTATTGATCGTAGCATCTTGTAGATCAGGTTATTATCATAAAACCTCAGACAGATGTTGAGCAGGCGTACAACATAATACATAATGGCATTGGTATATCTATCGCCTCACCTCCCCACCCACATCATACAAAGAAAACATAAAGATGGAAAAATCACTGCTTCAACTTCTCCGTCAACTCAGGCACCTTCTCAAACAGATCCCCAACCAGCCCAACATCCGCAACCTGGAAGATCGGCGCATCGGGATCCTTGTTGATCGCAGCAATAACCTTACTATCCTTCATACCCGCCAAGTGCTGAATAGCACCCGAGATACCCGCACACAGGTACAACTGCGGTGCGACGTTCTTACCCGTCTGTCCGACCTGCAGACTGTTATCCGCGAAGCCACTGTCCACAGCAGCACGGGAAGCACCGATGGCAGCGCCCAATGTATCAGCCAGGGGAACGATGACGCGGTCAAACTCCTCCTTGGACTTGAGACCACGACCACCAGAGACGACGCGGGTAGCGGTACCAAGGTCAGGACGCTCGGACTTGGCGAGCTCCTCGGACACCCATTCGGTTTGGGCGGGGGTGTTGGGGTCGACGCCTTCAGTGACGGAGGCGCTGCCGCCGGTGGTCTCGACGCCTTGGAAGGAGGTGCCGCGGACAGTGAGGATCTTGATGGGGTCGGTGGATTGGACGGTCAGGATGGCGTTGCCGGCGTAGATGGGGCGGACGAAGGCTGTTCATTGCTTTGTTAGTATACTTGTATAGGAATTGTGCGTCTCCGACACCGGAGCAAATTCCCATCCCCAAACCGGACGAAGTCATTAAAACATACTGTCTTCACTCTCAATGCCCGTGATATCCGAAACCTGCTGCACATCCAACAAAGCCGCAACACGAGGCAACAAACTCTTTCCGAACGCCGAGTGGCCAGCCACGACGTGCGTGAATTCTCCCTTCTTGATGTTCTCGACGAGCAACGGGGCGTAGTTCTCGGGAAGACCCTATACCATGTTTCGTCAGCACTTACCCTCCCCAATTTCATGTTCAATGAGTAGATAAAGGATAAAAGATACCTTCTCATAAGCCTCATTCTCCACCGCCAACACCTTGTCCAGACCCTTAATCTGCGCCGCCTCGGCAGCAGACGTGCCCTTCACGCCAGCACCCGCTACAAAGGCCGTCACGGGACCACCGAGCTTCTGAGCCGCAGCGATAGCGGACAAGGAGGAGGCTTGAAGCTTGCCATCGCGCTGTTCGAGGACGGCGAGAGTGGAGAGGAGGCGGGCGAGCGCGGAGGTGGTGGTGATGCTGGAGCGGGGTGCTGTTGTGGCGCGGAGGGCGCGCAAGGCGGACAGTCTTGTCTGTGGAAGGAGCATGATTGTATCCTGTGTGTGTGTGTACCTATATGGGGTTTCTTTCGGTTGAGGGGATGATGGTGGTGGTCAAGAGGGGAGAGGAGTCATTTGAAGGCGGAGAGGAAGAAGAAGCAGAACTAAGGTTATCGTCGGATTTCCCGCCAAGCTTGTGTCGCCGATCCGTCGGAGCCTTCGGCTTAGCGTCTGCCTCGGTGCGATGGAGGCGCGGATATGCTCGGTTGGTGATGGAAGTGCTGGATTGGAATGTGCTTTTACGTCATGGGAGGATTTTCAGAGGATTCTTCAGATGGTATGTTAGGATTGGGGTCTGGGGGTTTATTCAGTGGTTGGTGGTCGGCGACGGTATTCAGTCCAGTGTAGGAGGGGACGAGTTATAGTAGGAAGTAGTGATTCACATGCTAATCCTTTCTACTCACTACAATCTAATCGGGGAGTAATATAGACTATTAGTTTATCTTACCGATGCTAATCAGTTATTCTCATCACTTCTCACTTCAAAACACACAATTAGAGATGGTCGTACAATCCCGCCAGTTGACGAAAAGGGAGCATTCGGCGATCGTGCAATAACGCCGAGGATCCAATATAGAAGGGCTACACAGCAATCGACGAGATAGAAAAGATTCCAAGAACCACCATGTCTCTGAATACATCTTCTAAATAGTTGGATATTTGGCTTTGCGGCATGTTCATATCCTAGTGGTTCCAGTTTCTCACTGCTTGATCATTCAATGCTGACTTCGTACCATATCGACTTTACGGGTTAATCCCGACTAGAGCAGATCTGGATGCACCAACTGAATCGGTAGCATGTTCCGATTATTTTGCTGCCATTCAGCTCGACAGTTTCTGTCCTTTATATCTGGTAGCCGTTCTCTGAATCCTTGAGGTGATCAACAATGCTTAATACACCGCCAAGTCTGAAAAGTGCAGACAAATCTACACAGTTGGCAAGGACTGCACATCGGTGAGAGCACCGACTTCGCGATGAGGGCAGAGGGAAGATTCGTTTAGTGGCATCGGCGGTGTGCATTGTATATTGCTTGGTAAAAAGGCTGATATGATCAAAGTAAGTCGAACAAAACTGATAATTTTGCCTCTTGAGTGAGCGAATCCAGTGAGGATAGCTAGGCTATGTAGGGATGGGCAATGCCTTAACTAGATCATGTTCACGCGAGTCAATTTCCTATTAACCAGCGCGAAATGCTTCACCAATATACGTCTCCGCTAGAACAGTAGTTCACTTTGTGTTGTTTGAGCAAAAGATGGGCTCGATTCTGAGTGACGGTGTAGGATAGTGGAGCCGATTTAACCAGGTACAAGTAGACTTTGGGCTGTAAATAGCATGGCAATCCTACCAGTGGCTCCATGATGGAACAGTGTATAGAGCAGTGCTATTGGCCCGGTTGGAATGGACTTGAAACAGCCGATAGGCTCGTTCTCAACAGACTGGGAAGGTTCTGGGCGTTGTAACCGGCAAAAGTACTGCTCATCTCCCTTGCCTTGCCACTGACTCCGATACGTCCCCGGTGCAAACTTATTTTGCAATCCAGCCCTCGCATCTGCCTTCATACCACGATAGTCCCACAGCAAACATGGGCTGCTCATGCAATCGCTTCCGGATCAAATCCCCACGCCTATGGAGAGGTTGGTTGGTATTGCCACATCTGCCTCGCTTCCAGGCCGCAGGCTTCCGGATATTAACCGTTCCAAGGCACAGTTGTCTCTTGCATCGGAGGAAATAAAGACTTGCATATTGCATCATAACACAGGATCTGCACGGGGTTGAAGGCGAGGGATATGAGTCATCAAGCCATGGTTGTCAACTTGATTTCACGCTCTCCTAATTTCCGCTAGACTCGATGGTTTGAAGTCGTCATGGTGATAGTCTTCTGTCCATGTCAGCAACAAGAAATTTTTCATTCACTCCGCTATTCTCATGTCTTCCATTAGAACATTCGCCAAGCCTCCCGTGAATAACAACCAAAGACCCAGCAGCATGGCAAACCTAATTTCTCACGGGCCAAGTTCCGGACTGGTTCCGCGATAGGCGGGTTGTTCAACAGTCCCTTGCATGCACCCATGGACGCGGACATCGTGGGACTGCCAAGGGTTCCAGAATCCCACATGCTGTATAGTAACGGCTTTGTATTCATAACCGCCTTTGTTAATCTGTGGTTGCTTTGAGTGTTGCAACTGTACAGCCAAGTTAGTGCAATCGAGGCCTAGATTTCAAGGCGACAAGGCAATCAGCCAGTCAGGCTATCGCAGAAATGTATGCATGTTGTTTGCTTTCGAGTCGTGCTCTGTAAACAGCGGATAAAGAAACAGCAGCGCTGGCTCTAACTCTGAGACATCAATAACAAAGACATGAGACGTCGGTCATTTGCTTCTATCGAGGTATGCGATTGGATAATACTCTGTAGTCTGAATCCCGCAACGGATGCAACTATTGGCCCAGCTGCGGATTGTTAGTAACTAGTCGACAGTCCCAATCACTCCACAGCGACATTCAAGAGATAACGAACAAGCCTCGCATCTAGTCTAATGTTGTGGGTATCAACCGCTCAGCCCGAGCCATCCGTCAAGGAGAGCCTCGGAAACCCCTATTTGCAGTTAAGGGGTAGTAGTAGTTGCGAGTATCGAACCCAATCTTGAGTCAATAATTCTCCAGATGGTATGCCGATATTCATTAATCACGCACCGTGCGTGACGTCTGAACCGGTGGACTGGAAACAGCGAGGTGCCCTGCTCAAAGCTAACTATTCGAATCGGCTGAACGGGGCGGAAACCAGACAAATGCCCCAACTGTCTCCGACGGATAAAATCTAGTGGAACAGCGGAGAAAGTAACGGAACCTGGAATGGCTCAGGTACAGCTGAGCAATGATAGGACAAAGACATCGGTGCCTGAAACAGTTGCGTCGTTAGTTGCTTGCTGTTTCTCCGTTCAGCGCGCATCTCAGTCGTCTGCAGTTCCGACGTCAGTTGACTAATCGACGAGAAAGGCCCTCGAGTCGACGAATCATTGGCAGACATTCAAGTGCATCATCTCTGGCACCACATTTGGGCAAGGACACGTCAATAGCTGATGCGTTGGGAATTAGTTCGATATAAGAATTCAATAGTCGAATGTCAATATGGCGGGTGGGAGGAGACTATTAGTCCACGGGAGGAGACACGGGCGAGGCGGATGCGTGGAAATAGGTTGTGAGCTGTCGTCGAGATACCGCGTTGGGCGTAGTGACTGGGCTTCACCCGTGGACTTGTCCATTCAAGAACGTTCCAACTCTCTCCGGACTGGCTCAGTAAGAAACATCGAGCATGTAAGGTCCAAAAGCTTCTTGTCCCCACTATAGGCCGCCAAATAATTCTGGCGGTTGTTTATCGAACAGTTGACCATGCAGAAAGGCGGCGCACCACCCACTCCACCTAATTAATTGAGCTCTCGGTTCCCCTCCTCCGTTCACCCATCCAGAATGCGGAGAAGCAGCGAGGACTATCAGATTGGCTGAAGCGAATCAAGCGATAGGCATGTCCGATAGATAGGCTTCCTCGCAGGCACTTGGCATCATCTGAGTACGTAAACGGCGGATAAAAGCCGCGCAAGCAAACCAGCAACGAATATCTACCGCGCTTCTCCCTTTTGTTGTGAGCTCCGTGTTAACCGGTGCTAATGAGTCGGTCTTGGCCGCATTGGGGGTTGAAGTCTCCAGTTGCCAAGCTTTTGGAGCTGGACGCCATCGGACGAGATTCACTTTTTCGCGCTGTGTCTCTTTTTGCATTATGCGGCGATAAGCATGGCTGGGATGGGGCGGATCCATCACTGGCTTAGTACGGAGTAGTTAGTCTAGTTAGTACGGAGTACTTAGGAGTCGGTTAGTCTGGAGTAGTAGACACCGTCACCGCTTATACGGTATGATTACCACTATGGTATCTAAACCATTTCCCAACTGACCTACCAGTGCAGTCAGTCTCAGTCAGGGGTCCAATAGTAATCTATCGCAAAAGGGTCCGTTACTGCTAGGTAGACTCCAGAACCCCTTGGTTGCGGGCGCAATGACCAGGAAGAAAGACTTGGCCCGGGGGCTGAGGGGCTGAAAGCCTGAAAGAACCTTGGAAAAGAGGCTGGTGGTGTCAATCCAGGAGATTCTCGCCTGCCTTCCTCCGTCTCATAGGCTGCTTGTTCTCGTATTACTGCTTGGTGCCTGAGGTACCTCAACGCGAAGGAATCCATGCAAATAGGGATTCTCCCCTTCACAACCAATTAGCTGGACGCTAGGTTTAATGACGGTCTTGGCCAGGTAGGACCTGTACAATAGCCTGGGCGACAACAACAAACGCCGCGAGGTTGGACGCAACACCGCTACTCGCGACACCACCTCAGCATACCCGACCAGCCTGTTAGCGAGATTCCGATCGATATTAAGCAACCTCAGATCAGAGAACTATGCGATGAGAACTATCACCTAGTGTGGAGCGACATCGGCAATGATGATGGTTATTCTATCGCAACGCCAATTCCTCAGGACCTGGGAAGATTGACGACATTAGATTCCGTAAAGCCGTAGTACAGGCTGACACAACTCAGCAATCGCCTGCAAGGGCTCGATATCTTAAAGGAGCCCGAATCGGACCAAACAACGAGTGTCACACTTGAATAGATAGCCAACACATCCATCATGGGATCTGCGTGTCAAGCTAACGACCAGTCAATCAGTGGTGAAGAGAACCCCGGTAGGGCGGGAATAAATGTTCGAAATCCTCCGAAGATTCTCGGCAAATATGTGGGATCTTTGGCGAGCCCAAACTACACAGCTACCCACGCCGAACACGTCGAAGATATTGTAAACAAGTGTCAAGTGGTGTAGAATACACAGAGAGCGCTACCAATGAGATTCAGATCAAAGATTCCGCCCTCGTTGCATATAATACCGATAAACACCTGGCCATGTCAGGTAGCGTCGCCTTGTCGGGGGTACCTTGCCACGGCGATGCAGGAAGATATCCGTTTGGACCAGATGTACTCCGTACCTGCGTATGTACCCGTGGTCGGACAGCCAATGAACACAAGGCTGCTAGATACCCCATTGTTGTTGATGGTATTGTGTAGATAGACAGTTGTTCCAGGTGGGCTATGTAGATGAGACGTGTAGTGTATTGGATAGCGCTCGGCTTCCTCTTTCCCTCTTTGTTCATTTTGCTCAGAGGCGGCATCGTCTCTAATCAAACCAATAGCCAATGATATTCCAACAACCAACTACATATTCATCAAGTTAGGTGTTAACAGCATCATGATAATTATCTGAAAGAGTCCTTGTATTGGAATGACGACATGTACGATGAGCAACCGGTCCAGACGTGGCCAGGGTCTCAGATCATTATTCTGCATGTTGAGATTAACGTCTGCATGCTCCGCAACGGGCTCTAGTCGGTGGAAACCAGGCCGTACAAGAAGTCACCTGTTCCAGGCCAGATCGTAGGGAGGGAAGTGAAAAAGAGACATCTTTAATTACTCTGCATGATGTGCACTGTCTAGTATGAAAAGTGGGCACCAGGCCGAGAGAATTGTACTCTGTATGTAAGTAATCGCCTGTATCCCGTTGAGTTGTAGGCGGGGTATATGATAAGGACATTGACGACGCAGCTACGGAGAGAACAATATGAACATAAATTAGGCAGCCACTTCGTCTCTGATTGCTCGAACATGAGGGGAATCAGTGACATCAGAATCAGATGAAGGGAATTCCCGCACTCCGCCGGGGAAGATGTGTCATCCATATTGCTGGATGAGTTGGCCCCGTTCGTTCAACCAACAAAGGTGTACTTATGGAACACTTGATGAGAGAAGTAGACTGACTGGGGCATGGTTTCGGGGGCTGAAAATATCTTTACCGCCCGTCAGAACAGACTGGAACGGTGAGCAGGACTCACTAGAGGACTACTGGGAGATAGTAGGTGAGTAGGTGAGTGCTAATATTACTTACTCTGTACAGTCCTCCCTCCCTACTGCAGGCCAACATTGAGATCCGACATGAGACATTCCCTGGTAGGCCAAATTGTGGCAATGGTTCGGCAGCGCAGCACCTGCTGATTGGTGTACCTGACCGGGGGGGAAGGTTTGATGGCCCACCGGCTGGTGCCCGAGAGCTGATTGTGAGTGGCCAGCGAGACTCTGGGTAATTTCGGTAAACGCCAAGCTCACTTTCAGGAACAGGAAGGCCCCAAACACAAAAAAAGAAAATGAAAATGAAAAGGTGAGAAGATGATGAAAAAAACGTAAGGGTTTCAAAGGGGAAAATCACCGCCGTGGCCCAGCAAAGCCCAAGGCTGGCTTGCTGGCCCAGTGTTCCAGAGCCCAGGCGGTTCCTGTCTATTCTCTCCACTTGACTCCACTTACAGCTGCAATTCTCAGCGGTTCTCACGACTCACGTTGCGCCGTCCATGTTGACTTTTTCTATTTCAACCCCGGTGGTTTCTTGGCCTTCTTCTCCAGTGCCGCGGCCCCCCCTGTCCATCGCCTGACCACCACAACGGTAGGGAAACGAAAAACGGGTCTGAGATCCTTTTGTCAGTGATCTCTCTGTGTCTGTCTTGTCTCTCTTACTCACTACAGAAAGTATTCTCGCCCCTTTTTAAATACTGTGCCCGTAGATTCTTTCCATAACCTTTCCCGTCCACTCCCATAGTAGTAATACTCCATACTCGTTGTCCCTGATTGTCTCCTCGGGAGTAGAGTTACCGTCCCTGCGACAATCATTAATGGTTTTATACTCCGTAGCTTGACACAAAAATAGGGATTTAATATTGCCCACCCCCAAAAGGAGAAGAGAACAATACAGCGCAGTTACTACAGATACGGACGACTGTAACAAGCTAATTTCCAACGCTAAAAGGCTAACAGCCCACACTAACTCAACCCGATGTCTTGAGCCTTCAGGCTGTGGGCCCCCCTGATGATTATTATGATTATTTTTGTTATTTTATTAGTATTCCGATTATTCCCTGCCTGTGAGTTTTTATTCTTTTTTGGTTTACCATCCACTCATTTGGTCCAAGTGCCACGCTCTCTCTCTCTTACACACTCTCACACTCTCTCTCTTGGTTCCTTGGTTCACCCCCGGAAAAAAAAGGTCAGCGCACGCCTTCCTTGTCCCTCCTTCCCACATCCACACTAGTTAGTTGGTTATCGCCTCTTGCCCACTCACTGCCCTCCCCCCCCCCCCTGGACCACGGCGCGAACTAAACCTTTACTHACTCCTTCATCTCCCTCCCGATTCCCTTTTCTCCCTCGAGATCCCCCCTCCACATTTTCTTACCTCCCTTTCCCCCCCAGAGCGTTTCATCTCCGGCCCTTCGCCTGCTATCCTTCGCGAGATTTCCTATCCGACCTGAGGGAACTAGTTTCTCTCTCGTACGCTCTTTTGGGAACCTGCTTCTCTCTCTCTTCTTCTCTTTCACTCTTTAACTCTCATACTCTATTCTAGGCAACTTGCTTTGACTCTGCCAGACTCTTAGCAACCCCTGCCTCACGAGGACTTTCATTCGTGTACAGACTTTTTGCAAGAAGCGCGCGACTGGCTTGCTGTTAATTTGGTATGTCTCCTATCCTGTGTACCTTCGCGAAATACCCGGGATCACCCAGCACATACAATCTCAATGCGACTCTTCTTTCTCTCCTGCACTACGATGGGAAAGAAAGCAAGCTAGCAAGCACATACATGGCCAATGCCTAGTATCGAACAGGCCGTCTTGTGGTCAATGGAGGTTGAGCGCATGCTAATATGGGATCCCGTGGTTTATATAGATTAGGTCCACATTCTGACGCAATACTCGACAGCTTGCAACCCCGTGCGAAATAAATAACCAACACGATGAAGTTCAATACTGTCGCCCTCACCCTGGCTACCGCCGGCATGGTGTCTGCTCAGCACCACCACCAGCACCGCCATCACCACAAGCGCTCCCCCGACACCGAGGTCGTCACGGTGCCCGGCCCTACCGTCACCACCTTCGTTCTCGACGGCAAGGTCATTACCTTCGAGGAGGCCTGCGAGGGTGTCGCCAAGGGTACTTTGAAGTTCTCTGGCAACGTGCCTGCGAATGTTTGCCAGTCCTCCTCTTCGACTGTGTCTTCGAGCACCACCAGCCCGACTCCCACGGCTTCCGTTCAGGCTGCTGCTGAGTTCATCGAGGTCGCCGTCAACAAGCACTCAAGCAGCTCCAGCTCCAGCTCCAGCAGCACCAAGACCAGCAGCTCGTACGCCGCTGCCTCCTCCAGCTCCTCCGCCAGCAGCTCTAGCAGCAGCTCCTCCTCTGCCACCGGCGTGGACAAGGAGTTCCCCGATGGCGAGCTTGACTGCGACACCTTCCCCTCTGAATACGGTGCCGTTGCCCTCGACTACCTTGGCCTTGGTGGTTGGTCCGGTATCCAGTACGTGACCATCGTCGACGAGATTGTCGACACCATCGTTACCGGTGTCACCGGCGACTCCTGCATTTCCGGAGCCATGTGCTCCTATGCCTGCCCTGCCGGATACCAGAAGTCCCAGTGGCCCAGCGCCCAGGGTTCTACCGGCCAGTCCGTTGGTGGTATTGAGTGCAAGAACGGCAAGCTCCACCTTACCAACAAGTCTCTGTCCAAGAAGCTTTGCATTGAGGGTGTTGGAGGTGTCCACGTCCAGAACACCATGAGCGAGGAGGTCGCTGTTTGCCGTACCGACTACCCTGGTAAGCATTGAACTTTCCTTCCGACAGGTGGGTCCAAACAAAGATATTAATTCTGTATGCAGGTACCGAATCCGAGACCATCCCTCTCGCTGTCGCTGCCAACAGCGAACTTCACCCCCTGACTTGCCCCAACGGCGCCACCTACTACAAGTGGGAGAACCAGACCACTTCCGCTCAGTACTATGTTAACCCCAAGGGTGTTTCCACCGAGACTGGTTGCCAGTGGGGTAACGGCAGCGCTCCTATCGGTAACTGGGCTCCTATCAACCTTGGTGTCGGTTACAACGATGGCAAGTGGCTTTCTCTGTTCCAGAACAGCCCTACCACCACCACCAAGCTTGACTTCAACGTGAAGATCTCGGGTGACAACCTCAGCGGTTCTTGCAAGTACGAGGACGGTACCTTCTACTCCGAGTCTGGCTCCAACGACTCCGGTTGCACTGTAAGTGCCCTTGCGTTTGTTTTTTGGCTGGGACTTTTCGCTGATCATCATCTCCTCTCCAGGTTGAGGTTCTCTCCGGTTCCGCCACCTATGTCTTCTACTAAGGTAGTCGAGGGCCCGACACCCTTCCGCCGTCGCCGTCCGATTCGGTTCGCGTCCGCTGATTTGAATCGAACCCCGTCGGCTCGCAAATAGAAGAACTTTCATGCCTCTGTTCATTCTGTTCATGATTCTCTGTCCAGTGCGGTTGCTTTCTTCTCTGTATCTTACTATATTGTCCTATGTGGCTTGGAAAATATAGCACCTGTCACATATGTCGCGTCGCCATTCCCTTGATGGAGACGATTGTGGTTAGACCTTACCTTCTCTACTGCAAAGTAACACTGATTTCCCGTCTTTCTAGCCGCACTTTTCTACCTTATTCCCCCCGTGAGCAGCCAGATTTGCTCGTCATGTTATAAGCTAGCAATGCCTTGTATAGTAGTTTTGTTCATGTCAGTTGATAAAGATAGTTTTTTGACTTTTTGTCCCCATCTGAGACCATCCGGAGTGGAGTCGGTTGCATGAACGCCGTGTTCGTGATGACCGCGTAAGGCGACAACTAGCTTTCGTTAAAAACGGCCCTACGACACCTGGCGGGTCCCACCCCAGCCTCCTGAGTTTAAGTAGAAGCAGGTGTGTCATGGCTGGCATGTAGATTACCCTTCGATAGAGTGCACGGGAGGCGGTGGAGGTGCATTCCAGGGCGGCATCCACCTGCGTCATGCACGGTCTGATGTGTCCATCTATCAGATATCGGTGACCTTGGAATGTGCATAAGTGGAGCCAGCGATCGGTCGGTGAGTTCTTCAGGGTTCTGTCACCGGTGATGTGTGGCATGTCAGAAGTGGGCTGGGGGGGTTGGCATTTCAGGTCCGTCATATTCAATAATCATGTTTGGTTCGTTGATGTTCTACAGCAGGTTCAGCTGTTCGATCGCCTACTTATGTAGTCCGTGTCTCCCTTTCCTGACTAATGGATGTATCCTTGATGGTTACATTGTGAAGTGAGATTTTAAGTCAGTCACAGAAAGCCGATTGCTATTACTAAGTATGATGGGTGGATTGGGGGCGTAATTGCGACTGCTTCATCAGTAAGGGTACTACTACTGCTACTAAGTATATATTTACCGCAATGAGGGGTGATGATGCCATGGACCGGCGATTGGGAGTACAGATTTTGACGTTCTATCACACCATAACAGGTTTCATCTTGCCGGGGGTATTTTCCGGACCTGTACCTGACTCAATGGGCACGAATTGATGAGGCCATCTACCAACTTTCCAGCCTGCGTAGGTAGTATTCTGGTGGATTGCCATCAGGGGCAGTTGAAGTCATCCACCCCGTTGGGGGACCGTCACGTCGCACGCACTAGTCCCAATGGGGATAGCGAGTCACGATCTGTACGAAATCCCTGCAACGGGCACATGGCTTTACTGTTTTGGGTAAGGCCTCGACTGGTCATTGGCCGAGGCTGGGCGTCCAGTACCACGTGATCTGGCGCGCCATCACGGGGCCCGAACCAAAGAACGCGGAGCACATGACTCCTAGACGCGGAGACGCGCCTCGTTCCTGCCTGGGGTGTCGACGGTGTGTATACCGAGACTATAGGAACAGCCACCTTCCCCGTCCGACATGCAGGGGAGTGCTGGAACTCAGGGAGCCGCCAGGGTTAGTTTTTGGCTTTCTTACCTGTAAAAAGCAACCGAAGTCTGGCATATTTTGGCAAACCTCCCTCCACCACCCCCCAAGTCAGCAGTGCATTGCATAGTTTCGGACGGTCCAAGTTGCGAGGCTGCGCGAGCTTAGTGGTGGAGCTCTCGACCCTCGTCGGCGCCTATCGAACGCGTCTCGGGTTGTAAGCGTGCATTTCCGCGCTGGACGAGACGCTCCGTTCCGGCAGGCATTCCACCACACACCATCCTTTCACCCTTTTCTTCAATGTTTCTCGTTTTTTTGCCTGTTCGTACCCAGTCTCGTACTTCCCCAACCTCCTGGCCCTCGTCTTGGGGGGTGAAGCCTCAAAGTTCCTTCCCTTTGTCATCCTTGACACGCTTCATCTTGTCTTCCTCGCTCTCTCTCTCGCTCTCTTTCCTTCGGGACTCTAGGTCTCGTGAATTGACCTCCCACCCATAGACTTAGACATTCCTCCCCCAACCTTTTCTTCCTCGACGCGACTAAAGCCTCAATTGATCTTTTTTAATCCTCGTCCACCCCTCCTGCCGTTGTTCGAGTGGCATACGAGCGTGTCCGGGTCGTGGTTCACGACCAGACGGCCTTACTTTAACTTAATAGCATCATGGAGTCTTCGCCTCCAAGGAGCAGTTTGGCTGCTCCTGTGGCAGGCGTGAAGCGTCCCGCGGCCCTGTTGCCTGCCTTTGAGCCATTGAGCTCCTCTCCCTCACTTCCTCGTCCACAGAAGCGTGTAGCACGCGACAATCATGGCATTGTCTCGACTTACCCTACGCCGGTGCCGACCTCGTCGACCCATATCTTGTCCTCCTCCCCCCCGAGAATGGCCCTGCCGCGAACGGCCTCACGGCGTACATTTACTTCGTCCAGCTCCGAACGAACCCCTCTGTCTGCTGTCCCTACCATAATGCTTCCCGAGAGCGGGGAGCCCGTCCTGATGGGAAGATCCAGTGCCTCGTGCCATCACCAGCTCGCGGCCAACCGTATGATATCAAGGGTGCATGTCAAGGCCACATATAAACCCGCAGCTAATCCCTTTGACCCTGACAGAGTGGAAATCATGTGCATGGGATGGAATGGAATCAAATTGCATTGTCAAGGGAAAACATATGATTTGGCCAAGGGGAAGACGTTTACCTCGGATATCAAGGATGCTGACATCATGATTGATGTTCATGACGCCCGCGTGCTGGTCCAGTGGCCTCAAAGTGACCGAAAGGATTATGCCTCGACGGATTCCGAGCAGACATGGGAGGAGACTACGCCCAAACGTAAAGCACAGTCCCGTCGGAGTATTCACGAAAGCCCCAATGTGGAACGTCAGCGCTTGGCGTCTCCCGTCTCGCCGTCTCCTGCGGTCAAGTCTCTGGTGCCCCCATCGTCGCCCATATATACCCCAACACGCTCGCGGAATTCTGTGGTTGTATACGAAGATGACGCTTCGCCTAGCCGTCGCAACAGCACTGCTGATGCAGATCAGAAGTCATCGTCCATCGCTAGTGACATTCTCCAGAGCTCGCAGTCCAGCGAGTTGAGCGAACTGAGCAAGCAAGATGACTTCTCGGATCATGATGAAGAAAATGACCCCATTGTTCATTCCTTTGGACCATTTGGTGACAATCTGCTTCCTCGGATGGCCTCATTCACTGCAGATGAGTCTCCACTCCGTCCTGCACGGCCCCGCAACCAGGTTGTCCAGCCTACCAAGTCCCCGAGACAACCATCCAAGACCGTCGAGTCCACCGAGAGCACAGTAACCAAGCTCGAGCCGTTGAGCGAGAGCTTTGAACGTGTTCAGAACCATGCCGCCAACCAATTGGCGTTCTCTCGACTCTCGTCCACGCCATTTTCGACGATCTTGAATAACCTCCCACCGTCCTTATGGAGGCGGGACGGCCATCACAAAGAGGGCCCCACGAAAGAAGAGATCCGTGCCATCCTGGACACGACCAAGTGCATTGGAAAGGTGGCACGGGAAGGAAAGGATGCCGCAGGAAAGCCTCTGGAAAGCGAGTACTATTACATTCCTGACTTCGATGAGGACGACATGCGACGCGAAGCGGTCGTGCATGATCTCAGGAAGCCAGGCCTCCGCAACTGCCGCAAGCAGCATAAGGTACGTGCATTCCTCCTCAAACAAAATGACTTGTAGCTGACCTTAGCAGCAATACTTCTGGCGCAAACCCAAATAAACAATAAAAAGTCATTCGATCCCTGCTAATATCTTGATACGACCTTCTTGGATTCTGAGTACATATTTGCAACGTTACCCTTTTCTTTCTTTCTTTCTTTCTTTCTTCAAGGACTCGCATAGCGTGGCGTGGGCATACCCTGTCGATTTTTTTGTTGCTGAATGAAGGTGTATGATGATGTGGATTTCTTTCCTTTGTTGTGTTCTGTTAACGGTCCCCCAAGCCAGATGTATTGTTCTGTCCACGTGCGATGTCTACTGTGTTTCCTTTTGTGGCGGCATTGACCATTACGAGTCAGGGTCTCTGTCCATGCCTCATGGTGTAGACCTTGCTTTTCTGTGGGCGCTCGAGACCAGACCCGTGTCTTGTGTGACGTCCGTCAACGAATCCCCATCTGAAAAATTTCCTTTGATGTTGTCCAATGCGCTGTTGGCAAGATGCCCATCAGCCTTGGGACCCTCAACCAACCCAACCCAACCCCAACCCTCATGACCTGTATGTTATCACAGTTTCTTAGGGAAACAAAAGCGTTTAGTTTATGTTCAGATGCAAGCCTCTTACATCGTACACGGTAGATCCCAAGCCAGGAACATGGAACGATCATTGGTTTTCACCCCAGCTGGCATCACGTGCCTGCGCCATAGATGATGTCCCAATGACTTCAGGTCCAAGCACAGCACCACCATAATTATCTGGCCGCGTCGTGTGCAGCAGTATTGAGTATTGTCCATGCTCCTATGCCGGATTTGGATGCTCTTGGCCGTGGTTTAGACGTCAGCCCACATCTCGTATCGCCACGATCGGGTTCATCCCCTCCAAGATGCGTGATATGCATTTTGTTGAAGGCATATTAAGCCAGTAGACCCGTATTTCATCCCCAGCACATCATCCATCCTAGTGTGCACTTGCATCTCCCGAGCATACGAGTCAAGATTGCTTGACCGACACTACCTCGCAGGTAGCATACTACACTATACTATACCAATCTACAGCCTACCTACCTACCTATCTAACCACAAACTCCAACGCAACTATCTTACCTCCCTTCCCTTCTCACAATCAAACCAAGCCAGAACATCACCATCACAATGTCCACAAACCCACGAATCATCCCCGCCACCGAAACCAACCTCCCCCGCATTCATCGCCATCAACCAGACGACGCAGACGCAGACGCACTGCACACACAAAGCAGCCCCGAGACAGAGCAAGATCCCAGCAGGAGTATCCTAGGCAGAAGTATCAAGCCGCCCGTGGTACGGCATTATAGTTGGAGCGAGGAGGATCGGAAGCATGCGTTGCAGGCGAGGTTGTTGGAGACGGAGGGGGAGATGGGGTTTTCGGAGGTGAGGAGAGGGCAGGGGGGTGGGATGGGGGATGAGTAGGATATTTTATGTGGGAAGTATGGAGCTGGATTTGACGGTGATATGTGATTGAAAGTTAATGGGAGATTGAATGAATGTGTGTTGGTTTGTGGTTGTTTGATGTTTTGATGTCTGATGCAGGTGAATGTAAGGTTTATGGGGATATTCCGGAAGGGTGAATTCTTTCAGGGAGATTGTGGGAGATGAGCAAGCTGGATCAGTAATATAAATTTGATGGCAGTGCCAACAAGGAGTACTGTATCTCTCGATTGAAGATGATTATTTCAACATACTTAGCAGTGGCATAGTTCTTAGAGTAGAAAAAGTATTGAGTGACGAAGTCCCTCCGCCTTCGGCCCACTTCTTCACCAGCTGCTCTTCACTTCAACTTCCGTCAGCCACTTCAAGGCTTGCCTCCCCCTCTCCACCTCCCTTGACGCCCGAGACACCTTGCGCGTCACTTGTCTGCTGCCCGCTTCACCAATGTGGCGTTCAAGTCACTCATGCGCTTTCCTTTCCCACTCTTTGAAAGGTTCCCCGGACAGTTGAGATCATCCCACGCGCCGATTGCTGCACCACCGCACTGCGGCAAGCAATGGATCGTCAGAGGAAGCGTACGTCCAATCCCACTCCACCACACATGTCACCGAATCCGGCCAGTTTGGGATCGCTAACATATTATCTCCCTATACAGGGGATCTCCGCCTCCAAAATGAGAGAGTCTGGGCCGGCGAGACTGGTAAGTCACCCCTCATCAATCTAACACACTACGCCGATGCGTGCACGACCTTGAACCGGCATCGGAGCCAACATATAACCATAAATACTAACCAACTGATCGCTCTACCAACAGATGTCTTCCCGGTCAGCAAATCCCTCGATTCAGCCCTGAAAAAGAACACCGCTTTCATCAAGCGTCTCCGCACCGGAATCAACGCCGCTGCCCAACAAACCTTCCTAACCGATATCCGCACCCTCTCGCTGCACAAGTACCTTTCGGAAATCATCTCCGCCTGTTACGAAGGCCTCTGCAAGCTCAAATCCCCCGGCGAAATCGCCACAGGTGTCGAAATCACCAGCGCCCTGCACCAGCGCTTTGGACCTGCCGAATTCACCCGCCAGATCGGATGGCTCCTGGGGCGAGGCCTGAGCACCCCGGACAGAGGACAGCTGAAGGCGCTCAGTCAGGAGTTGCGCGAGCGCGAGGAGAAAGAACGGCTATCTCGGCATCGGGTGTTGTTGAGGGTTGTTACAGAGTTGTGGTTGGTGGGGGTACTGAAGACGTTGGACGATATCGAGAAGCCGGATGATGTGGGTGCGAAGGGCAAGGATGGAGTCGTTGGTATTGGTGGAAAGGCGACGGATGGACCGGTGAGGAACAGGGCGCCGCCGTCTGCTGGTAAGGATGGTGAGAGGGAGCCCGAGCCGTTTCCTTTGGAGGTGTTGAAGGACCTTCTCGGACATGATCGCGATCATTCGAATTTGCCACTCGCCGTGCTGTTTGTCAAGAGCTTCAGTTGGGATGTGCTGGGTGTGAAGATGGTCGACGAGGGTAGGAAGACTGTCGAAGCTGATGGCGCTACAACTACTGTTAATGGTGACGGCGTGGATGCGGATGCAACGGACCCGGAGGGTGACGACCCGCCGCTTACTTCGGAGAAGTCTCAGCTTCGGTTCAAGCATATTCTCAATCGGTATCTGGAGGATGTCAAGGCACATGTTGTTCGTGATCAGAGAGCGTTGGCCGCCCAGAGCCGTCGCAATGCCGAAGCATACGTGAAGAGTGGCGAGATCTTCGAAGACCGCCAGGCCAACTTTGAGAAGCAGACGAAGTCGCTGGAGAGGCTGGTTACCAATACTCAGGTTCTGTGTGAGGTTCTGGGCGTGGAAATGCCGGCTTTAGCTGAGAAAGAGTCCGCTGATGCTGGAGCGGGCGGTGGTATCGGCCTGGTGAAGGCTAGCGAGTACTTGCGTGGCCAAGGAGAGGGCGCTGGTATCTGGGAAGACGAAGAGGAGCGGCGCTTCTATGAGAACCTGGTCGACCTTAAGGGTAAAGTGCCGGCTGTGCTGTTGGAGGACGGCAAGAAGAAGAAGGCGGAGGATGAGACCGGAAAGAAGAAAGAGGAAGACGGCACAGATACGGAGAAGACTGAAGCTGGCCAAGTCCAGTCAGCTGAGGAGAAGGCTGCTGCAGAGGCCGATGACCAGTCTACTGCTATAGCAAGCAAGACAGTCGGAGCTCAGGTGGACGCGCTTCTGGCTAAGCTGCCCGATCTGCAGACCAAGGACCATGTCGACCAGCTAGCGCTAGACTTCTGCTTCCTCAACTCGAAAGCGTCTCGGAACAGGCTTATCAAGGCAGTCTCCGATGTCCCCAAGGGCCGCATCGATCTTCTTCCCTTGTATTCTCGCCTGGTTGCAACCCTAGGACAGTACATGCCTGACATTCCCCAGGGCCTCACCACCTATCTGGATGAGGAGTTCCGAAGCCTCCAGCGCCGCAAGTCAAAGGAGTTCTTGGGACAGGTTCGGATGAGCAATGTCCGTTATTTGGCAGAATTGACCAAGTTCGGTGTAGTTCCGGAGCATATCATCTTCCACTGCTTCAAGGTTTCGCTGGATGACTTTTCGCGCATGAACATTGAGATCATCGGGCATCTCTTGGAGAATTGCGGACGCTATCTGCTTCGGAACCCTGACACCTCTCCGAGAATGGCTTCTTTCCTGGAGACCCTTGGAAGGAAAAAGACTGTCCAGCATCTGGGTCAGCAGGAACGGATGATCATTGAGAATGCAGTCTACTACGTTGATCCGCCACCGCGACCTGCCATTCAGCAGAAGGAGCGCACCCCTATGGAGTCTTATATTCGTAGACTGGTCTATCTGGATATGAACAAGCGCAACTACACCAAGATTCTGAAATCGATCCGCAAGCTTCATTGGGAGGAGCAAGATGTGAGTACAGCATGGTGTGGTGCGGTGTACGAACATCATACTAACTGCATGATAGGTGGTCGATATTCTGGAACGCGTCTTCAGCAAGCCGGTAAAGGTTAAATATGGCAACATCCACCTTCTCGCGATCCTCGTCAGTGCCCTTTACAGGTATCACCAGGACTTTGTCATTGGCGTTGTGGACAACATCCTCGAGCAGATCACGCTGGGTCTGGAGCAGAACGACTTCAAGTTTAACCAGAAGCGAATCGCCGAAGTCAAGTATCTCGGAGAGCTCTACAACTACAAGATGATTGACTCACCGGTCATCTTTGACACCTTGTATCGCATTATTACCTTTGGTCATGGTGAGTGAGTCGACACCATCCGCGAACCTCACTAACAGCTCTCAGAGGGTGGCACGCCCATGCCTGGAAGGATCAACCCGCTTGATCTGCCCGATGATTTCTTCCGTGTCCGCCTGGTCTGCACTCTTCTCGACACCTGCGGCCACTGTTTCGATCGGGGCTCGGCCAAGAAGAAGCTTGATTTCTTCTTGACCTTCTTCCAGGTATGATTGTCTGTATTTCGCAAGAAATCCAATGCTAACTCGACCAGTACTACATGCATACGAAGGATCCCCTGCCGATGGACGTCGATTTCCTAGTCCAGGATACCTTCTCCATGACTCGCCCTCAATGGAAGCTAGCAGCTGATCTGGCCGAGGCTACGCAGATTTTCAGTGAAGCTGTGGCACAGAATTTCAAGACGCAGGATGCAGAAAGACCTGCTGAGCCTGACGAGGACGATGCGGACAGCAGCTCGTCGGACGAAGGTCTGGAGGAAGATGCAATGCTCGAGGAAGAGGACCAAGAGTCGAGCGACGAGGCTGAGGTTTGTTTACCGACGTCGAGAATGTGATGATATGCTAACGAGTTATTAGGCGTCCGGCCCGAACCCGGAACAAAATGGTGACAGTGAGTCCGAAGACGAAGAGATCTTCGTAACTCGGCAGGAGGAGGAACGCGACCCAGAGGCGGAAGCCGAATTTGACCGTGAATTCGAGAAGATGATGGCGGAGAGCATGGAATCCCGGAAATTCGAACGCAAGGGTGTGTTTGACATACCTTTGCCGATGAAGCGGTCTGGACGTGAGGCAGCGCTTGAGACGCCCCCGCCAGAGGCACCAAAGCCCACGAATAATACCATGGCGTTCTCTTTGATGACCAAGAAAGGAAACAAGCAGCAGGTATGCTCTCCTCTTTGCCGTGGCAAGACGCACTACTAAACCATACAGACCCGTACCATCGACCTGCCCTCTGATTCCAGCTTCGCCGTGGCGATGAGAAGCCAGCAGCAAGCCGACCGCGAGGAGCAGCAGCGGATCAAGAACCTGGTCCTGAACTACGAAATGACCAATGAAGCAGAGACCAACACCGACGGTACGTCCTTTACAGTCATTTCGGATGTAATATACTAACAGTGTTGCAGCCGCAGAGAAGCGTTCCCCCCATCGCGACACCAGAATGGACAAGTCAAGCGCGGCCAGGGCGGCGTTCCGATCCCGGAAGCTCCAACTGAGCGACGTGAACTGGTAGATGACGCGTTCGATAGAAGCTAACAGTCATGGTATTCATACATGAACTAGAGAAAGGACCAGCAGTGCGCTGTTCGGACTATTCCTTGTGACTCATGCTTTTCGCACATCAGCGTCAGCCATCAGTCAATGGGGTTTGGTTTATTTGATAGTCAGCTTGTCGCAGACACAGGACTATTCTAATCCAGCTACCCATATCAGCAGACAAGTCCTGTCTATCGACTGATCGATTGATAGAACGGGTGTCCGGTATTGATACATCGGCGATGTGACGTGACTGAATGGGTATGGGTATGTTGCCTGCATCCCAAACATAACACATAACAACAAACAGATCATCTGTTCAACACAGTGATCATTCCTTAACTTTGTCTGTGGTCCTCAACCGACACATAACTATGGTTATACCAGGGGGGTAGAGACCTCCAGGCACGGCATGATTACATCCATCCATCCTTACTCCCTTCTCTAATCCATTCAACTGGCTGATTCCAGCTGGGTAGCGCAGAAGGAAGAGAGAGACATGATGTGATGTGATGTGATCTCTTCTATTTCCTGCCTGGAAATGCAACATGCATATACACTTACCCTATCGTTCACTCACTCACATGAGCCAGCCAGTTAAATTAGAAATCATCTTATATCAGAATGTACATCAGTTGCTACTACATTACTTATATTAAGAATAAAAACAACGGATGGAAATGAAATCATCTATGTCTATTCATTCTACTTCGCTCTCTCTCTCTCTCCTCTCTTTTTGACCGAGATGCTAAACATGAAAAAGAAAAGGTACAAGTACAGGTGCAGTTACTTAGATACAGTATCACTCGAAAAGAAAATGGATGAGGAAAAAAAATAAGAAAAGGAAAAGTGGATATAGAGATGGTCGGAGATGCTGATAGAGCAATGAGATGAGTCAAAGTCAAGCCCAGACTGGAGATTGGAACAGAGACAGAGACGAAGAGGTAAAGGAGAGCGGAGAAGAATATCACGAACAATTGAAAGTAGAATGAAAGAGAAATTGGGAAGAGACGAGACTGGACGAGGGTATAAATATGAGCTGAAAAAGAAATCATGCATGCATATAGTAATACACTGCCTTGCCCGATCTTATACATCCGATGTCCCTCATCTTCTCTATTTATTCAATCACATGTGCTTCCTGTTCTTCGATGTTCCAATGCTGCATCTTTCCAATTCCATCCTGTCTGATATGGTATATTCATTGCTTATTTCTCCGTCTCGGGAACAGCATCGTGAGCCGCCTTGGGCACCAAGGTCTCCGCCTCAGCCAGCTCGCCCTTCTCGGCGAGTTCCTGTTTCGTCTGGGCGTTGATCTCCTGTGCATGGGCGCGCTTCTCCTCGGGGTGGGAGGCGGCGTCGATCTGAGCGGCCGTCACCGGCTGCTCGTCACCGGCCTCGGGGACGGCAGCAGCGGGAGCAGCCTCCTCGTCATCTTCGAGCTCAGCACCGTACACGTCGGGGTGTAGTCTGAAGCAGTCTTGCATGCCCCTGTTAAGTGGTGGTTCCCCGCATTAGTAATGCATTCGAGATTATATGGTCAGAAGGTGGGTACGTACTTGAACTTCTCAATGCAGTCAATACCCTTAGGCTCCTCAGAGGAGTACACAAAGCAGCTAAAAGCAGCCTTGAACTCCTCACCGCAAGGTCCGTGGGCCATACCGCCCAGGCAAGGGCAGTCCCAGTTAATCTCGCCGGTCTCGGGGTTGAAGGCGCCTTCCTGGCCGGCCTCGGCCTCGAGCTCCTCGGGGGACTTCAGCGTAGCGGCTTCGGGGGAGGGTTGTTGCGCATCATCTTGAGGGGCTTCGGGGGCAGCAGGAGCAGGAGTGGGAGCGGGAGCAGGAGCCGAGGACTTCTTCTGTTCGCGGATCTTGGGCTTGATGGAGTCGATGGTGAGGGAGGATTCGGCTTCGACGGAGTCGGACTTGGATTGCGAGAGAAGAGAGACTACATCATTAGCTGGCACTGGTCCGAGGGAGGGAGGAGAAGGTGGTGTGTGATGATTTCTTCTCCTCCGAGGCATGACGGCGAACCGCCATGCATGCGGTGGGAAAAAACCAAGCGGCAACGGCAACGGCATCAGGCACATACAGGACGGGGTTTGAGCGAAGTAGGGGCTCGTGTTGTAGTAGTAGACGGCGCCAATGGCCAGACCCAGGCGGGCAGCGGTGTTCTTCCAACTCCTCGGCTTGGAGTCGGCGGGTGTGTTGGTGCTTATCAATCGTCTGGTAGCCGGGCCCGGACTGCGACGGCCGGTGCGCGGAGGATAGCTCGAGGTGCGGAGCGAAACATGGCGGGCGAGAGGGGGGGGAAGCTGGGTATGACAATTAAGGGAAGTGAAAGAAAGCGGAGAGGAGGAGAGGGGTATCACCGCGAGGCGAGCGGCATGAATTGGGCGGGAAACAGACGGATGGGAGTGGATGGAGGTGGACGGGGATGAGAGATGGAGATGCAGATGCAAACCAAACCACCAACTCGATTTGACGCCCGTTGCCTCAGGCAGTCAAGAATTGCCTGTTTGGGGTGTCTGCTGGTCGGCCCCGGATTGGCCAATCAGAGGGGGCCGCGATACGCTGTTGGTGCTTCCAGTGCTGGATTGCATGGTTTTGATGGTTTCTTCATCTTAGCGTCTGGTGTCATCTGTATGCCGTAGAGCTGGCATCATGTAGATAAGAGAGGTGCGCCCGGAGGGTCGCTGTTGAGTCTGTTGGAGTTCAGTGTCAACTCTAGTCTGCAGTCCGACCTTAACTAGTATATACCGGTGACATAGTACACATGACAATATGTATACTGGACAAAAGATGACGATGGCACCTGGTATGGCTTCTACTACAGATAGTAAATCTCTACATAGCATACAACTAATATATGCGTACCAGTCAATATCCCCAGTCAAGTCCCATTGGAGATCCTGCTCCTCCTCTTCGGTCTCTGCAGACCAATCGAGCAATACATGCTCCTCTTCTCAGCCCCCGAGCTCATCCATCGACTTTCCTCCAAGCATCTCATGACACGAGAAGCCAACGGCGACACTCTCCTGCACATTCTCGCTAAAGACCAAGGTCCATCGCGACAACTGGCGCGGGCTCTGTTCTCCAGGAAGGACCTGGACGTCAACGTGCAGAACAACAACTGGAAGATCCCCTTAGTATGTGCCGCGCAATACGGGAATCACTGGCTCGTCAAACTACTGCTCGAGCGGGGCGATTTCAACAGCTACATGCTGGACTACTTCTACTTCACGCCGCTGGTGTGGGCAGCCAAGAAGCAGGACGAGGGGTTAGTGAAGATTTTGCTGGCGAACAGGAATGTTCGGCCAAATGAAGTGGACATTTTCCGGCGAACGGCACTGTCATATGCAGCGGAATATCGAAATGAGGCGATTGTGCGGTTGTTGCTCGCGGATGAGGATGTTGATGCGGAGTGGAGTGATGAGACGGCGCGATCACCGCTGTCTTATGCGGCAGAGGCTGGGAGTAAGAGAATAGTGGAGTTGCTGTTGGATCGCGAGGAGGTGAATGCACATTCGGTGGATTCGTTTATGAAGACGCCGTTTGTGTGGGCAGCGGATTATGGACATTTGGAGATTATGGTGAGATTGGAGGAGTGTGAGTATTAGCTATCAGCTTTGTTCATATTACTTTGTACGTAGTTGATGATGCTTTACTAGTTACTGTCATGACTGAATGATATGCATGCACTACCACCAATAACCTCTCTCAAATAGATTTAGTCAGCCATTTAGAGGATCACTGAGGGGCAGTGATCGCGTGCACATTTAGTAGCTTCTAATCAGTAGACTATAAGTAGGACTATATCACTACATCATGAACGGGTTTATGTTGTTATCACCGAACTCA